ATTGAGTCCAATACCAAGTTTCCCAATATACACCAAGGTAAGCTGTAATAGATTTTGAAATAATTTCAACTTCTTGTTATTACTCAAACATTTTCTTATTTCTATTTGTTCAATACAGTTCCGATTTAGTTATGTTTTACGTAAAATTATTACATAATGTGAAGACAAATCTACAGATAATCCAATAAAATAGAATCTTAGTTTTGCAAGTCCATTAATGATAACTATAAAATAGGGAGCATTGGTTTAGATAAGGATTCTGTTTACGGCGAATTCATTTTCAAAGCTGTACAACCGCAAACATTTACTTATTTTTCAAAGTGATCATAACTACGATAGTAGAGATAATAAAATTTTGCTGAACGTGGTAACAGTGAGGTAAAATAAACATGTTTTTACTAAAGAAAAATGATAATAATATTTTTGGTGAAACCTTGAATATTCATCATGAAGATAAATAAAGAAATTATAATTGGATGGGGAAAGCTCAGCATGATAAGATAAAATGCTGAAATTGAGATGAATTGTATTTAGTAGGATCATAGAAACAGAAAAAAATCAAGGGTTTGCAGTGAAGATAGAAGTGAAGTAGATGATCATGAAAGAAGGAATGAATAAAAAGTCACGAGAGATTAAGGTCATGGTACACACACATACACAGCAGATGTTTCTGCAATGCCAATACAACTGTCTCTGACAGCTTTCCACTTACCTTGCAAATAACTTAGAAAGCAGAGTCAATTTGCATTGAATGCCCTGTGTTCACAAGGTGTTCAATTGTTGAGCTTCTTATTAAGCCATTCTCGCCTCTTTTCAGACAGTTCTTGAATTCTTTTGAATGAAATATGCATCGGACGACCCAAATACCTGGCTCCACATGAACAGGTAAATTGATAGACAGGAATGGAATTAGTTGAATGTGATAATTTATCTTTGAGATTGTTAATGAACATTGGTCGGTTAGAGAACACTAGTCACAAAGTTATTTCGATGAATATTCTACTGAGAGAGTCGGGAATTACCTTATTCAGGATGCCTGTAGCTATATCACCTTTGAAATCGATCTTCGTATAAAGAGTTTTCTTTGGTAAGGAGGATAGTTGTGCTTTAGGAGGTTTGAGTTTTATATTCGTATCAATAGATAGCGATGGCGATCCGTTTTCTACAGTTATTCTCTTTAGGTGGTTCATTTCGTTATCTATGAACTCGAGATAACAAATTCTAAATTTTCGTGTGGCTAGGAGTATGATTTAGTGTCGATTTCAACTGATGTGGATCCTGACGTGAAAGCTTTATAGCTGACCATTCCAGGAAAGTTTCTAGTAAATAGATCTTCTTACAGTTTCTTCATGATTTACTGTCAATGTGACATAACGAAAGTCAATACTTTGTTTATTTACAACTTCTAGTGTGAAATTTATTGCTGTGTGGTAAAAATCAAATGTTTGCAGAAGATGATTAATCAAAGAATATTTGTTGATTCAAATCATAGAGACATCGTTCACGTATCTTTTATATTAGTGGGAGTTGTCAATAGTTGCTTTAAGTTAATTGTTTTCCAGATTGAACACAATCTGCTAGTAATCGGTCAAGAGGGGATCCCATTCCTGTGCTATCTTTTAGTCTATAAATTACGTCGCTGAATGTAAAGTGTACATTACAGGTGCATCGTAATATTAATTCCTTTTAGTAAGATTTTTATAGTGCGATATTAATCCCATGATCATTTATCAAGCAAATAGTCTTTGTGAGTAGGAAATTGATGAATACTAACTGTACATCAAGTAAAAGGATAAGTTGGTCATTTATATTCACTTATTGTATGTAATCAATAAATTCGGGAGTGTCATGTCGAGAATGTATACAAATATGTTTTCCTATGAATTGCAGGCAATCTCTCAACCATTTTGCTATAGCGTAGTAAAAGGATCCGAACCTATGAATAACTATTCGGAGGGGTAGTACAGGTTTGTAAAGTTTAAGCAAAACACATATTTTTGATGATTTTCTTCTCCACACGGATACAAAGAATACTTAGTCCTGAAGTTACAGATAGTCAAATGAATCTCTTAAAGGAAATATGTATCGAAAAAGGGTATCCATCGGTACATATTTGACAAAAGCATAAAGCTTGAGCATCCTGATCGTAACTGACAGATATTCAAATCAGCTTCAAAATAAATGGTTGAGAATTCTCATAATGTAAATTAGAAAGACTAAAATAGAACCGCACAATGTTGTTTACCATTAGATTTTCATCAGAATTAACTTTCATGCAAATAGAACTGCATATTAGAGCTAAGTCTGATAACGAACCAATTGAAAACAATGGTGTTCAGTTTTCTGTTTGTTGTTCATATTCGAAATGAACAGAGACAATGTGTCTGTTTCAATATTGATTTAGGTTATTCCAATTAATCGAAATAACAAGTCACTTGTATCTCAGTGTGCATTAGACTAATTTTTCGAAGGATACACGTTTCAAAAAATCAATTTCACTAAACTATGTGATATAATGAAGTTTCCAGTGATATTTTACGATCATGTAAGATGGAATTTATGCTACATAACAAACAGATGTACACGATTTGTAAGATCATCGAATGAATGAAACTTATGAATGGTAGTTTTATATTAACAGAAATTGATTGAACTATTTGAGGACAACACAGACCATGAAGTATAGAACAATCACTGTATATCATGTTAAACAGTAAAATAGGAATGAAGGCCATAATAACTGGCAAAATTATATCAACTGAGTAGAAAAAGCATATATTACTTCTCGATCACCCAATACATGAGCGAAGTAATCAAAGTATACTTTTCAACATAAAACTGATGAATTACTATAACATTTCTCTATAAACTGTCACTGAGAATGATTAAACATGCTTCTAAACCACATTAATTGGTTGAAGGTTAAGACCATGAATTCTAACGATGAATTTTAACAGTCAGAAAATAGACTCGGATTGTAATTTCCACTTATTCGTCTTAAATACATTGATATTATTTGAAATTAAATGTCTATGCATAAACCTAGGTTGAGATATTGAACAAACCAGAAAAATCACATAATACTTCAAGTTTGTATCTGATATCAGATGCAACGGTCGTAAATCTGTGATCAGTGTATTATGAACTAAAAACGTTCATTCCAAGCTTGTCTCCATTCGGGTATAGATATCCATTTCCGAATACATACACGAATAATATTTATTTAGGCTTTATACATACATGAGATCATCATTTGTCTAATTATAGTAGTTTCGTAGTTGGACTACTGTATTTCAACCGAGGTGTAGTTAAACACGGTGTTTCATTAAAACTTCTATAAAGAACATCAGACAAAGACTTGTCATTTTGAAATTGTCTTTTTTTACTTCAAGTAACATCTGTACCTTAAATAATAGTCAACCAGTTTTGTTAGATTAAAGCTTAGAATATTTCATTTCAGATTATGATTGAAGTAAGTCCATCTAGTGTAACGCTGCAGCCAGGTCAAATAACAACTATCAATGTGAAATATATATTCCCACTGAACTCCACCTATCTGAAATCTACAATACAAATCAGTGGAACTGGAAGCAACAACACTAATGAATCTATAATAACTATTACAGATTTTAGAATAAGTTTGGGTTCTAACTTATTTTACACAACAACTGCTTACTCATCTAATTATTTGTCCACTTATCCAACCGATCAAAATGATCAGTTGTTAATATACTTCGAAAATATCACAAACATTGGTGAGTTTAATGAAAAACTACGGTTTGGCAGTTCATATGCCCCTATTTCTTGGGTAACTGTCATTACTTACACTAATAAAATTCAATATCATAGATATGTTTCTTAATTCATGAGATATCTTGAGTATCACACTTGTCAATTTGAGCAAAATATGTTTATTCTTAACGGATAGTGTTCTGCAACTTCTTTTGCAGTTAAAATATTTTACAAGAATATTACTTTAGATGACATATGAGAATAGGTGTATGATATTTTCCTTAACACTTCATGACTGAATTATCTTTACAACGAAAGTCTAAAATTTAAGTAGTACTGAATATTCCTAGTGTAATGAACGAACTCCATCGTTCCTTCACGACTATTGCAATCACTCTCTGTTCACATTTCCATTCTCTTCAATCCGATCTTCTCAACTTTCGGCTGTCAGCCATACTACTTCTCACTGGTGTTACATATTAATTATGTCAACAGACATAAGTGGCATACACCACACGAGTGTACAAGATCAAAGTTAGGCAAGAAAATATCTCTAAAACTATTACTGAAACACATGATTAAAAACAGTGAAATAAGTTGAAGTATTTTGGAATAAAACTTGACAGAAAAACACTAACACTAGCTTACTGTTTTCCTTGAAATTTTGATCTTCATTTCATCCTGTAATTTTTAATAGCTTACCTCAGTCGAAAAAATCTAGCTTAATACATGTTTTAACTAATAAACACCAGATAAGCAGTAAACTGAATACTGTCCCTTAATTTCTCTTCAATCTGAAGAATGTTGTTAAACATTCATGGATATGGCCCAAATCTGGAGGAATGTTTATGTGCAAAAAGACATCGCAGCTGAACATCTCACCCTTACATTACAGAAACTAAGACAGCGAGATAAATTCTTTCTGTGTGTAAACAATGAAAATGTTCTACAATGAAGGTTAATAACAAACAGTATCCAAGATATCTCATGAAAATGCAAGCAAAATCATTGCCATTATGTGAAGTGGAATAAAACAAATTGATTTGTTGTTCGTCACCACTTTCCAATGTATTGTAACTTACTACTTGATTGATTATTTGAGAGTACCGTTTTGAATTTTATTGTTCTTGGTTAGCTCCTAACCAATTTAGTCCTGATATCTAAAACATTGGCTGTTAATTCAGAGTGAATAAAATGTTCAGCGTCTTCTTCAGTGCACTATCTTATAAAAATTATCACCTATTTTAGGTACGGTAAGTGTACCCATAATGCGAAACACTCTCAGTCTTTCAGTGGATATCCAGTTGAGTGATAGTAAAATTGTAGAAAACGGAACTGTTTGGCCGTTGCAAATCACTGGTCGATTCAATGCTGTCACTAATATTAGCAAAATATCTGTGAGTTGTGTAAGAACTGGGTCAGAAAAACCATCAATTCAGGTTGTACTATCTCAACTGTCATCGTTCACATTCAGTGATTATCCTGATAGGTATGTTTAAGTCGTTCTAACCTTTAGTATATATTTATTTCATGGAATAATTGGTTCACTTCTAACGCGAATTCATTTTTCACTTGAATATCAATTTTATATAAAACAGCCAATATATTGTTCAGACAGTGTCCAAATGTCCATAATAACGATTACGCTGATGACTACTCACATGAAGAGTACAAACTTTGGTCTTGAACAAAGAGTTTAGAGATCTTTCTGTTATCCACCAAGCAATACAAATATCATGCCCAAATTCAAGTGACCGAATCAATAAGTTTTATTTATTTCTTAAATTGGTTTCAAACCTCGTTGTGTTAATATTCTCGGTGATAAATTTCCTTGGAAACTTTTCTCATAACACCTTAAAACCAGACACACAACTCGTTTAAGCATCCATCAGATAAAACACTGTTTAAACATATAATTGGTGTCTTAAACAGATGTGGCTGTTTAGTTGTAGTACAGATTACTCATCTGAGTTATAAATTTCAAATCTATAGGTCAATCATCATCACTGTATATCCTGTTTATCCGCAACACGTCTCGAACACAAAATCAGAAATATAAACTTGTCCTGGACTCAAATAACCCATGTAGAAAAGAAACGATATAATCCCATTAGCTGACTCTTGACAAATCAGTTTCCAAAGAAGTGTCTATCTTTTCATTTATCAAACATGAGTAGCGTGGGTAACTACTTAACTGACCTGTAAATTATAGCATTTAATTTCAGATAAGTCTCTGTGTTTATTAAACATGTTTTGAGGAATTACTGACAAATAACTATACAATGATTTTAGTCAATACTTTTATTTTTCTAAAAACCTTGTTGCCAGTGTTGTGAACAGGAACATGACTAAGTATCTTTTCATCCTCAGACTATAAAGTAAATCATAACTATTAAGCTTAAATCAGTTTTGCTCTCAAAAGTGTCCGAAAGCCGGTGAAAATCGTACCTGAATTATCTTCCACTTATCTCAGCACAAAACATTTTGACTTTTGTTAAATCAATCGATCTGTCAAAGACAATATTTAAGCATGGAAGGTGATATAGTTGTTTCTCAAAACTCTCATGAAATCATCATTGCTTTCTATTCATTACCATTTACTTCGAACCAACTAAACTCACGTTCACTGAAAAGTGAAAAAATGGAGTAATGAAGAATGCAGAAGTCGGACATTGTTCTCCGTGATACCTCCAACAGTTACTGGATTTGATTTAATTTCAACAAACTGACCTAATGTTATCATGTTTTCTCATGAACCAACTATGTTACATATTTCTGATACACAGTAAACAATCAGCTGGGAACATTTAACTGATGGAACTACCCACTCGTTTACATCAGTATCAAAAATAATTCTCTTCGAATTTAGGAAAAATAATTCATTATACGTTTTACAAGATCTCTGACAATACTCGACATTATATGATTAGGTTAGCAATAAAAAATCGTATTATTGTACAAAATTCTAATAATTTCACCCTTTTCGAGCTATACACGTCTACGCTGTACTCAAAATATTTAAATACTGAAATCTAAGTAGATCCGAAGTTATAAATATTCTTGCTATTTCTCTGCTGAATGTAATCAGTTAATCCTATCAAACTAGATTGGAAAGCGTGTAAAACCAGATATCAAATCCAACTACTATTTGAACTTAATCGTCAAAATTTGAACTGTTTTACTGATTGATATGAAATAACTCTCTACATAATATACATTTTGTTTAATCCAATACTCAGAGATGTGGTGTATCTTCAGACAACCGTTCAAATGATGAATGGTACCGGATTGGAATGTGAAAGACAATCGATAATTTTCTATCTCAGTCCAGAAATAAAATCAATCATTGTAGTTAATCAAACAGGGAACATAGATAATGTAACATTGAAAACTCCTTTAAACCCAGTAACTAAATCAGTTCAGTTCATAGTAAGTTTCTGTGTTTCAAGACATATTTTGAAAATAATGTTATTCAATTTAACTCACTCAAAATTTAGTTGAAGCATTTAAAGGGGTTGAATTGATTTTTTGATTGCAAATGAAATCATCATCAACTAGTCTAAAACCGTTAACACAATCATATTATAGTGAAAATTCCCATTTTGCCATTTGGTAAATAAAGAAGGGACGAATTGAGCGAAGAAATTTCTTTTCAATTAGTTTTTCATCATGGCTCTACACTAATATATATACGTTTTACAATAATAATTTAATACTCATCGAGTGGATACGTTACGTAATAATTACATAATGACATTTAAATTAACATTAATTAATTGGAAGAAAGAGGATGATTAATATTCAAAGTGATCAAGAAGTTGCTAAGTTGCGTAATGTAAGAAACAAAGAAGGAACAGAATTTTAACGGATGGTCAATAGGATGGTAGTTACGTAAGAATCAAGAGATGAATGTTGAGAAGTTATTAAGTTCAAAAGCAATAGAAATAAAATTACAAAAGTTTAAAAAATTACAAAAATTACAAAAGTTTTAAAAAATTAAAAAAAAAAGATGGAAGAAGTATGAAAAATAGTTCTTTTGAAGGAAATCTTAAACTGATGGCCAGGGCATATATTATTTGACGAAAAGAATAACTGGTAATATTGAGAAATACACCACGCCAGGTGGATGGATCACAGTACTGCATCAAGCGTCTCAGATACTCAATATGAGACAAACGATTGAGAACCAAATATGAACCACACAATAATTTAATGATGTGTAATATTGGAATTGAAGTACGATTGGTTGTTGAGTGTGGACAAACAATCATAGCTTACCGACTTTTAAATATGTTATTTCTTGAAACAATTCATTGTCATTGCATAAACATAAATAGGATTCAGCGAACGGAATTTCCTTCATAGTTGTATCGTAATTATATATCTGTAGGATAAAAAAGATTTGAGAATGTGGAGACGATTTGTAGCTCAGGTAGATCATTCCGGTGGAGTTTTATTCTTTGACCCAAATTGTTTTCTCATCATGGAGTGATTCGACACTCCAAATATCAAACGAGAGTGCGTAATAATCAGAGGGTTAGAGAAGAATAGAGGGACGAGAATAATTTACAGGTTAGAATTATGAAAGACAATTGTCCGCTTTACAGATGTGAAGGGAAATGGTAAACACACAAGTGAAAGTAATAACTGAATAATGATAATAATGAAAAAATTGTTGGAGTATAATAATAACTGGGATGCACATACATCCAGCTGACGGGTCCCAAATAGGGTGAAACAGGCGTCTTGTCTCCCACTGTTAGCCACCATCATCACTGCGTATAGTTGATTACGGTCCAAAACTGCAAAACAATAATTTAAAAAAAGAAAGCAAGACCAAAGCATACCACAGAAGGCAATTAGAGCTAAGAGAGAATGAGTGGGTGCACATGTTATTTTTGCATGCGAAGTTCAAGCTCGGATTTGTCGAATGCCAACGCCTAAACAGTGCATAAGTTTTTGACTCGGTCTTCCTTCGACCCAGTTCCTTTGGTTATTAAGTGTTTCTGTATCGGACTGGTAACTGTTTTGCATCCTCCCTTTACAAGCCAGGACAGGTATTATTCCGAGATGCGTTTAGAAAGTGGTCGCTATATGCGGCCAATATAACCTGCTCCACAGAAACAAGTAGATGTATAAATGCACATCAACATGAACAAAAGCGGAAGTTTATCCCTATCACATCTGTGAATGTTAGGCTGGCTTGAGAAGACAAAACGGAGATTATTCGAATAGGTTTTATCCAGGGATTTTGAAATACGTATATTAAAGATTTCGGCAGCCTTATCTCCTTTAAATTCAATATTCTTAAAAAGAGTTTTCTTTTGAACTGTCGGTGCTGGTTTTAGGATGTCTTGGTGTTAAGTTCCTATCTACTAATCTAGGTGGATAACCATTTCTGATGGGTGTCTGTCAAAGTTGAAGTAGTTCGTCAACCACTTCATCATCAGAACATTCCCCTAGGTCTTGAGGATAAAGAGTGAATCAATTTTCTTTTTCTACTCAATAAGATCCAACTATGGAAATTCGTATACCGACCATTCCAGGTGGCTTTTTAAATATAGATCTCTGTAAAGAACCATATGAACTTCTATTCAACCGGACATGAAGAAAATGAAATTCCTCATTCGCCTCTGTTTCCAACATGAATTAAATTGAGTGACGAGAACTATTGAACCAATCCGAAATTTCATTGAGATCCATTTTTTCTTCACAATTTATGATAGTATATGGTGATCTGAAGTATTCGAATTTATGTGCAAAACTAAGAACTCCCGAAATAGAGCAATTTAACTCAAGTAGAACAAGCTGAGACAAGCGAACGCATTATATTTGGAATTGATAATCAGCGGGCAATCAAGTACAAAGCAATCATTAGTTTGTACAAATACCACAACCACCACAGCTTAAATGGGAATCTAAATTTCTGTAATCGATCGCACCTCTCCTTAAGTTCATCATGTGTTTGTCCGATTGTGTATTGGATGTAGATTCTGCATGATCTAGGATGTGATCATTAGTATTAGAATTAAAAACCGGAATTGGAACAGATTCACTTGGTTCCTGGAATTGTATTTGATCAGCATATCGGTTGTGTGTACTTAAATCATTGTCATCTAGGAATTCAACCATGGATTTTGCAACATTCTTCACCACAATTCTCATGACTGGTCGAAGATCATTTCCACGATAACATGTAACACATGGAGACTCTAAACGCCTCATATTCGAACGAAGGATTCTTCCTTTTTTCAGCTTTGTTGGAAACTCTTTCGTTACAGAATGCTTAGCATTTCTATATTGCAGTAGAGCTGTGTCGACTTCTCTCTCCAGTCCATCAAATGTGGAAGCAATAATGGGATTAATAGCATTTTTCAATGTCCTGACGAAATGTTTTGCCCGACTATTAGAACAAGTGTGCCCGGAAGCAGTGAACAGATGTCTACACCCTATACCATTCAACTAGGTAGTGACTGTGTCTGCAGCAAAATGAGACCGATTATCAGTCACTAATACCATGAACTATCATCCATACATCTCTTAGATAAGTGAAATCTCTCAACTATCGGTCGAAGTACCGTATCTTTTTCAGATTATCCATGAAACAATCAGCCAAGAGTGCAGAGAGATAGTGGTGAACTCATTGCAACTTCATCGGTTTGTCCATGGAAATGATTACTAAACCTGAATCGCACATTGAGGGTACATCGTAGAGACAGCTCTTCTAGATAATGTTTTAGGGTACTAATATCAATGTGCAACCCAATCTGGGTGACACTGCACTAAATCCTGATTTTTCAGAAAATGAAATAATTGAGACTAATGTTCTTTTGAGGGTAGTCGTCTAGTTATAAGTATCGTGATTACATATTGAGCTCATTAATGATAGTTGACGTACTACAAAATTGAGGACCAAGTAATAATGCATGTAACTGAATAGTCGACAATGTTATACACAACTGTATTTGATATTTCGAATCTTGAATCACTTTATGATTCAATCTTTTCTATCCTTCTATAGACATATATTTACCATACAACTATAAATACGAGTGTGTAGTTTGAGTAAATGATTGCGCGGACAAGAAATTTCATTTTGTTGAATCCTTTTTATGTGTGATTTCTTTCAATCTTATTGATTTCTACTCCTGATTAGCTGGGTGTGACTGTTTATAATCGTACTGAATGAGGTATTATCTAATGTTATTCTGGTTTCCTATTCTTCGTCGTGAATCCTGGTTCTGATGTAGTGTGGCTAGTTATATTATTGTTGTAAACATGAGAGAGAAAGTAATATTTTAAATAATCCGTTATATCACAAAGTTGGATGGTGACTAGCAGTGCAATCGAGGACGAGTCTCAAGTAGAACGAAATACTCTTCTTGGATTTTACTGCTAACCGCCATCCACCTCTGCTTATAATGCTTGTGACGTAAGGCAATATCGAAGCAATCCCCACAGGATGCACGCATGTCAATAATTGACTTATCAATAGCAGTTCTAAGCAACAATTGAAAGATTCAAACAAATAATCCAAACTGAATTAATAATGAAAATGTGGTCAGTTAACACTCAGTGAAATCAGAGTAGACGTCTCTTGCAGAAATCATGTCATAACATAATATAATCACTTCTATTCATTATAATCAAACATTTCTATCTTAACTCACTAACCAATTACTACTTATTTCCATAAGGTATATTACAACGTTTTAGCGATCATTTTCTACTTGATCAACATAATGAATAAACTAAAGTAACCAGTCTCGTCTTCAATGTTCGATAAGTGTTCAATTTTCATGCACATTCAGGTGTGAGTGAGTACTCCATACAACATTAAAACTATCACTAGTTTTTATCTCAGACTTTTGGAGTTGTCTGCAGCTATCTGCTATGAATATGCTAGTGTTGCGCATTACGACATACCGGATGGAAAACACAAACTCGTTGAAATCTAATGCCTGAAATAAAATTTACGATCAAAATTACATTCCCTACAGAGCACTCCACTCAGTAAATGAACTAAAAGTTACTAGAAAATACTGTATACGTCATAGTTATTGGACACTAAATACGTTAATGATAACTTCCATCCATTCAGTCTGTTAACCAAATATGGCAAACGTTCAGTCAACTGAATCGTGAAGGTTTTATTATCAATAAACGGTCTGTAATCTTTGTTCCACAATATCACTGAAGTATTCTAAGGGCACTTCATGATTTGATTTCATTGTTCAACCGCATTGCTACATAAAAATAATATTTCTTCTACCAGTTTCTGCGTCATAGTCAAACATTTTCGATTTCAAATTTCGATTTTACAAGTGAAATATCACTCTGCAATACCTTTCTAAAACAAAAGTTGTATTTGTGAAGGTATTACAGGAGACAGATAAAACACCTCACTTCCATGTTTCATATCTGTTTACCATTAATTGTTGCATATAGTTCCAACTCGAGGGAAATCTATTTAACCACTGCATTTATTTCAAATTTCAAGTTTCAACTGTGAAATATTTGCAGTATTTCTCATCAAACATTCAAACTCATTTAAATCCATCGAAACATTGCTTCATTTACATAACCGAGAACACGAGATCGATCTAATATCAGCATTCACTGTCGTTTACTGTGCCAATGAAACTTTCAAAGTTTGTACAATTCCGTTCACCAAGCATAGGGGAGGCAAATTACATTAGTTTTGTTTGCCTACGTTAGTCATCATTTGAAATCGTCTCATATCACAAAATGAAACATGAATTTCAAACATATATCAACTCTTGCTCTGAAACAACACTTAAGGATGTTATTTTTCTCGTTTCAGGCAGGACGTTTATATTTCGGTGCAAAGTATGAAGTCATCTTTAGTCTGAAATTTAATCCGTCTCGTAGTACAACCATTGTGAAATATCCAATTCTAGTTGAAATTGTGTGCAAACCCTATGAACGTGGTAGTCCCGTAGTGAATAGCTGCGCAAAACAAAAGTTTTACAAGTTCAAATCTCATCTGCGTGTTCAACTTGACTACACATGTGAGTTTTATCGGTGTGTATTTTTCCAAATTCATGTTATGATTATAAATGAACACTACCTAACAAGGAATGACTGTATTATAGGAGATAAGTTTACCCTGTACGTCGGATACATTACCTTAAATGGAAAATGCTGTTAAAATTTCCGCTGTTGTGAAAAAGATTTCAATCTTTGCATTGCATCCGAGTTATCATACTGTCATCAAGTATTCACACATACAAATACAACTTCACAACCCATCATAATTCACTGAATTTTTCTCATGCTACTGAAACCACAATCATTCTCAAAATGTGAGGTGCTTGTTAATTGCTTTCAGAGAAAAGATGAGTTAGTCCTCATATAGAGTTATCAATTATTTGGAGGTTTTCCATAATGATATTTCATTTGATCATACAAAACTTCTAGTAATGTACAATCGCAAACAAAAGATAAAAAGAAAAACACTGATCTCCTTGTTGAGAAGTATCAACTAAATATGTTTACACTGTAACTATATACAGTTCTCTTGCACTCCCCTATTAAAATGACCTCGAATTTCGCCAATCATAACCATAGGGAATGTTTGTCATTGGTTACTTATCTACAGTCACATCACATTACTGTGAAAGAATTCTCTATAATTTCATTGATTTTTGGGATAGTTAAAATAATTCTCAATGACTCACTCTGTGATGCGTTATTTAACAACACTGCCTTGTATTGACCTTTTGCATTCAGATCCTCCCAACTTACCTCATTACGTTGCAATGCGGAACCCTTTGGTACAGTTGCCCGACCGTCAAGCAAATACATTTCTAAATGTTGGTGATCTTTTGTTTTATTGTGCACGTGCGTTTAGTATAAAGGGTTCATTAGATTTGGTGAGACGATGTTTCAAGATTAGTAAATTGCCTGAAAGAATTTGGTTTGGTAAGTAATCATAGACAATCTGTTGTGTTTTATTATTCAACAGTGGATATTTGAAGTTTAAAACTACATACTTACGTCTGTTACCTCTAGTGTAGGAGCATAGGCCACCCACTAGCATTCTCCATCCAACTCTGTCCTGGACAACCCTTCCCAACACTACCTAATTCCTATTCATTCTCTTCATGTCTGCTTCGAACTCGCGACGTAGTGTGTTATTCCGCCTTCCTCTTTTCCTCTTGCTTTCAGGATTCCCAGTTGGCACTTGCCTCGCGATGCAGTCTGATGATTTCCTCAACGACTGTACTATCCACTTCCATCGTCTTTTCATAATTTCCTAATCAATTGAAAATTGGTTTGTTCTCTCCCACAGTAAGTTGTTGCTGATGGTATCCAGCCAACAGAAATTGAGTATCTCTCGTAGACAACTGTTTATAAATACTTTCACTCTTTTGATGATGGTTGTAGTAGTCCTCCACGTTTCAGCTCCGTACAATAGAACTAACTCTATTGATATTTGTATCGAAGATTATGTCCTTGATATTGCTTGAGAGTTGTTTTGAGTTGCATATGTTCTTCAATTCAAGGAATGTTATCCTTGATTTGCCAATCCTCACCTTTACATCTGCATCTGATACTCTTTGTTCATCGAAGATGGACCACAGGTACGTGAAAGTTTCCACCACCTCCAGGCGTTCTATTCATCAAGTGTGATTGAGTTGGTGTTCTCTGTGTTGTACTTGAGGATCTTGGTTTTTCTCTTGTGTATGTTGAAGCCTACTAATGCACAGGCTGTAGCAACACAGGCTGTTTTAATCTGCATCTGTTGATGTGTATGTGATAGAAAGGTTAGGTCATGTGTGAAGCACAAATCGTCTAGTTTCATGCAAGCTATCCATTGTATGTCGTGCTCCCCCCCCTTAGATGTCGAGGTGATCATAATTCAGTCAACCACCAGAAAAATAGAAACGTAGAGAGTAAGCAGCCTTGTCTGAGACCAGTTCTCACTTGGGATGCATCTCTCAGCTGTCATTCGTCCACCACTTTGCAGTATATTTCGTCGAATGAATTCCGTATGATATTGAAGATCTTCTCAGGTACACCATAGTGTCAAAGACGTTTCCATGAGGTTTTCTTATCCACAGTATCATACGACTTCTCATAGTCAATTAAGGTGATTTATGGTGACAAGTTCCACTCAATTGATCTTTCAAAAATGATCCGTAGCATAGCAATTTAGCTTTTGCACGACCGATCCTTATGGGTTCCAGTCTGTTGATCTCGAAGTTCGGTGTCTACTGAGTCTCTCATGCGTTTCAGCAACACACTGTTGAAAACTTTTAGTCACCCGAATCTCAAAGTTAATTGGATGTTTATTAAATTTATCATTTATTCCAATTACAAACAATTCCTTTCTCAATTTTATAAAACTACAGAAATCTCAATAACAAGTAAACATATGTTTAAATCAATACTGAATATTCTCCCAATGCAAACCTATTTCGTTCAACTGTAGTGAACGAGAACACCAGTGGGCACAACCAAATTCATTACAATATAAAATTATAGAACATCCTAGTAAAATCTGAGAACCACACAATAAATACTTCATTTGCAAAATTTCAATCAATCGTCTCATACTTGATTGTTTCTTCGTTTCCATACCAAACATTCGCTATTCTTGTTCTCTATTATTCGATCTCAACTTTCTACCACCAGGCATTTCAACTTCGATTGATGACAAATACTACTTACATCTGTGGACTTCGGCAGTCCACACCACACAACTAAGATTTAGATTAATCGACAAGTATGATGATTTCTTCAGAATAATCAACCTTTTGATAATCATAGCTTACTACTTTGTAACGGGAGAGTGTCCACTACCACCTCTGTTCGATTCTACATATTGCCCTATTTTTACCACATTCATGATGTACTGACCTACCTTAGTTAGTTGACACCACATTGTAAATCAATAGAATAACAAGTATCAAAAATGATTATTCATGAATGTATTGACTCAACATCCGACTCAGTTTACAAGACTTAATGTATAAAACCAAACATTATCATAATGAAGGAAAACAAATGTTTTACATTAAAGGCCGACACCACAAGCTAATTATGGCAGGATTTGTACTTGGAAGGAAGATTTATAATTCATTCTCTTCATATTTTACCATTAATTATACATGACTACTTGAACTGATATATACGGTCATAAGAGAATTTTTTGTTCATGTAGCACAAATAAAGTATTTTAATAAGTCATAACTACAAACGTTTAGTATTTTAAAACATCCATTGTACAGATTCATAAAATACATAGTTACAAAGAGTTTTGGCTCATCGAAAATTTTGTTAAGGCTTAATTTAACAAAATAATATCAGATATGTTTCGACGGATTTCTTTTCGATTCTCAGATGTCGGACCATATGTTGAACAGGTTATAGCGTACACAAATCCACTTGGCATATTGTTCGGTTTGGGAGCAAATGGTGGAGGTGTAATGATGAGTAAGGATTTGGGGAAAACATGGATTTCAATCAACCCATTCATGTATCAAAACACTTTGAATACGTCGACTGAAATCATTACAGCAAGTGTCATACCATGGATTTCATCAACTGGATCAATTGACAATACACTGTCTGAGTCATTTTGCAAGATGCGAGTGGCTAAACAATGGAATGGTAAGTAATGTATAGTAGTAACCAGATGCTCAAACGTGTTTTCTGTCATCCCACGTGAAAGTGTGCATCTAAACCTAAGAGTTTTCAATATTTCTTCAAGGTTCAGAGTTATGACAATTCCAACCGTACACACAGCTCTTGTGATATGCACTACATAGCATTAAGAATATGTGTGATTTTTACATCTCATGTAGTCGGTTTTTCCATGAGTACATAATTCGTCTTTCACACGGTTGTCGTTAAATAGTAACTTTATTAATTCCTAATAATGCATAGCTTAATTTTTGTAATTTAATGCTCAAATGAAGACGTCAACACTACATTCACATGATTTTATTGAGGTGCACACAGATAAACAAGAAAATTTTAATCTGAATTGGTTTATTTCTATTGATTGATCCCACCGTTTGCATAGTTGTAAGATTTTACTCATTGTATACTGGTTTGACTGCGTTCTACAATCTAGTATTGTTTAAATAAGATAGATTATTATAGGAATTATTACAGCAGATAGCCAGATTTCTATGACATACGTGTTAGGCTATACCGTGGATACAACAAGCATTTGAGAACACATCGTAGCTTAGTTATAGTTCTGTTATTAACATTCAAAATATGTCTATCAAAAATGTTACTTTGTTTGGAGTTTGAGAAGTGAGTTTATCAGCTGATTGACCACCGTTTGATCTTGTTTGTTTTTCCATACATCTCCTATAGTATGCATCAACGCAATTTATGCAAATGAACTTCTATTGGCAGACTGGACTAACACCTGTCCAAACATCAAGCCTTTTTAACCGATCAATCACTTTCAGTTGGAATACAAACTTTGTTCAAATATTTGTGCCTTTTTAATGTGTTCATTTTATGTTGTGTGCAGTAATAGAACATTTAGTTAATTTTCTATTATATTACTTATCCTACAATTAACCATTTTAAATAAAGTACATATTAATCACATTTGCATTATATTCTGACCTAATGAAGAGCGACTTAAGTAGGAATTCAGCAGACTGTTCGTTGTTATCTAACTATTTTCTAGTGTAAGAAAAGGATTTTTGTGAATTACAGCTTCAGTAATATCTCGAAGTTTAGTTTCAAGAAGTTTGTTAATTAATTTGATAATTATACCATAGCTGGTGACCATCGAGCTATGACCCTTATTTTAGTGAAGGATAAATTAGATTTTCAACACATACTTGAGTCATCTGATGCAACTTGAATATAGTCAGTAGAATTTGCATACTAGTATTTCAGGAAATAAAACATAAGAATAAAATTAAAGACCTTCCTCCAGGCTAAATGCTTCCTCACACAGATTGATAAAGTAAAAGGAAGTCAACTGAATATGTTGTCTCAAATATTTCGTTACTACATATCAATCTGTTCAGTAGCCAGGGTACTTTACTCAATTATAAATCCAGTGACTTTTAGTGAGGAATGGTTTTATGACCTTGATCTGTCTACTCTAGATTAAGATCTTGACGCAATAGGCTGACCGGCTTGTCCTCGAGGCTAGTACGCGTGAGTTTGAGGTGGGGTAGAGAGAAGAAAACTATTTTAGCACCTGATTGGTTGGCAGGCACGCAAATAAGGTAAGACAAGACAACTTGAGCACTATTGGCTGTATTGTGATATCCTGATTTCCTGTGAAATCTCTGAATTCAGAGCGGTGCGAAAAGGTCCATGAATAATTAGGTGATTTACCCGACCACAACGTACAATAATTTGGGAAAATACAATTATGTCCAAAGCTGAGAATTAGAACAGAAAATAAGGTGCAAAATATTATGTTTAAATTACAATAACTTCGGAACAAAAAGGGGTATGGCAATGAATGACACATCGAATGAAAGCTCATGTTCTGTAGAATAAAATAGGAAAAAATAATTGTCAGTGTTTTACAAGCTCTGAATAAAATGAAATAACGTCCTGGAAAATAGTTTTCATAGTTTGTCAGGGCTTCTTGTTTCCCTGTTCACATCATCTTCCCCCTCGACAAACAAAAGAAAAAGATTTTTATAAATGCCATTCAACTGAGTGCATAGGTAGGTGAAACTGCTTGACGTTGTGATCCTTGTGAAGCGTGATCATTTTGATAAAAACAGCATAGTTTGTTTTGAAATGCACCTGCATGCTCTTGTCGAAGATGATTTATGTGAGATACGGACGACATTTGAGAGGAAAGAGAAGACTTCAGTGTGGACATAACATTAGAACGAAATACATGAGATTCTGAAGTCTTACCACAGCATACTTTTTCTGAGGCATTCGATTTGGGATCATTATGAAGACATGTTATATCGGAGGAATTTGACTTTGAAATTTTATGAGAACATAATAAATCGGAGGTATTCGATTTGACATCACCATGAGAACACATAACATTGGAATTATTTTATTCAGAAATATTACGAGAACATGTCACATCTGAAGCATTTAGTTCATCACTATCAAGGGAGCAAGATACATAGGATTCATCACCGAAGTGTGTGCATAAGTTTTTAGTAACACATGGTCTGTTGATGGGAAAAATAAATCAACACACCAATAAATCATCATGATAAATTACTGATTGCAGTATGTATAATTCAGGTGAACCAACCGTAGACCATCATTTGATGAAGTAATAATTTTTCCTAAATAGGCACTTAATATTTAGTGAAGGTTCATTTTTTAATAGTCATTCTTAATAAGAATTAGAAAACTTTAGATTTCTATAGGGTTAATTTTAAAATCCATAGAAATGAATTACGGTTTTCACTTGTAAATTATTTGTAATTCTGCATTTTAAAATTAACTTATTTGTCATAATAAAAAGTAGTACGTATAATCGAACAATATTATCCGACCGGCCATTTTTTTTAAAAAGAACCTCCACCCCCCAAAAAAAATTTTTCCAACCCGAAATTACAATATTTTTCATCCCGTGTTTCGTCCAATGAAATGGCTAGTTTCAAAACTTAGATTTAATTGGTTAGTTATGTCTTGAAAATTGTTATAAATTATCAGTACTTGTCTACGAAGCACATTCCAATCGTCATTATGGAGCAGAGTAACGTGCCAAGCACAAGCGCTGGTGTTTCTCACGTAACGGAAATGGAGGAAGTCTTTTTGACTACCTTGTTTCCGGTTGCGTTTCCATCGGTTGAAGCGTTAAAGACCACTATCACAAATTTTGAAAGATCGACTTACAGTCATTATGTAGTGAGAGATTCGCATATTGGCAGAGATAAAAAATCCTACATTAAATTTGTGTGTTGGCGAAATGGGCGTATAAGATCTAGCGGTTCGTCACAACGTCTTAGACGGAGGAGGTAATTTGGTAAATTGTTTTATAATTTTTTTAACGAAGGGCTTCTATGAACACCCAATGTCCAGCATTTATGTTTTGTAGGATTATAGACGGCTATTGGACTGTTGTCCGTGGGAATGTGCATCACAGTCACGAGTGCGATTCCCTGAGGTACCAAGGTAATTCATGGGTGCGCAGGTTAACGGATGGGGAGTTTGAAACTGTGAGACCGCTGCTAACATCTGGTACTGCTGCATTCCACATAAAGGATTTTGCTTACCAATCTAATGGGAAACGTCTGAGTGATCAAGATGTCTGCAATATGCGGTACAAAGTGTTCTCACACGCGAACCTTCCTGGTACGGAATTTGCCAATTTATAATGTACACTATAGGTGATTACGGGAAATTGAAAGCTCTCATAACATCCTTGGGTGGGCTTTGCGAATACGAATTGGACGATGAGAACTGTCTATCGTATTTCTTCTTCATGACTGCTGAGCAAGTGGATTTGGCCGGTCACTTTTGTGACGTAATTGGTTTTGACGGGACGTACAAAACGAATAACGAGAACGTCCATTTATATCAAGTCGTTGCCCTGGATATGAATTTTAAGGCAATACCCATGTGCATTGCCTTTTTAAGTCGCGAAACGTCAACATTCATTTCTGCCTTCCTGCATTTTTTCCAACGGTGTACCAACAGTCGACAACTGGTAGGCATTGTGACCGATGATTCACCTGCAATTGCTGCTGCTATTACGCAGGTGTATCCGGATGCACACCATATTCTGTGTCGCGTACACCTTGTTCGGAATGTGATAAAGAGGGTAAGTGTTTCGTTCATTAACATTAACCCAGTAACCGTTATTTTAGAGGGTGCGATCAGAAATTGTACAACTGTTCTTTCGCCTCATGTTCACTCGAACGGTTGAAAGGTAAATCAAAATCTACATAACATGATTTTGTAGTTTTAACAACGTACTTTCGTTAATCGAAATGTCGGACGGAACGTTTGGCAGATACGTCAGAGACCACCTTCTACCACGGAAATACAAATGGTCCACTGCTTTTCGACCGCCATCCACTCTCTTTGAACTGAACAATACGAACTTCGTCGAGACCAGTCACCGAGTCTTGAAGATGTATCACCTTAATCGAAAAACACCGGTTCTCAGATCCATTTTCAATGTGCTGCTTCGTACTGGATATTGGATGGAAGCAAGATTACATAAATATTCAATGGATTGTCGGGGGAAAGCCGATATTGGTGAGAAGCCGGAAGTACATCGACTTCAGGAACGACTGACACCAGTTGCCTGTCAACTATTGAAGCGACACCTTCGCATTCCTATAACGCAGTCTGCATTGACGGAAGATTTATTCACCGCTATGGACGCCACGGGGACGTACTACGTACACGTCGATACTAGCCGGTGCTCGTGTCCATTCTTCATTGAAAACGGATTACCATGCCGTCACATATTGGCTTACTGCACACACAGTAACACCGATGTGAACGTACAGTCAATTTGTGACAGGTGGTTACACTATGATGGTTATCTGACTCATATTGCAGTTGAAAATTATTTCCCAATGCAATTGAGTCAGCCAAGCATGAAGAATGCAGTGATAGCGTTAATCAGGCGAATGTCGGAGGAACAACGCAGTTCATTAATTTAGATATCCCTTAGAGATTAATAATGGAAAAGCGATTATCGCTCATGTATTCGTAAACTTGTTTCTAACGTTTATTAGATATAAAGGTTAAGAAAACTTGGACAAGATTTTGTCATCTAATGAAGACTAATCTAGTAATTTTATATTTAAAATAATGTGGTTACCGTTCATGTTTTAGTAACACATTTGTAAACTATCTAATAAAAGTACATTTTGAGTACATTTTAATAGGAATATTTTAAATTAGTGAAAATCGTAATTTTGTCGTTAGGTCAATAAATTTATGATGACATTTATTAGTGAATGTAATAAGATAATTACAAAGATGAATGTGATTAAAGCTCATAGAGAAGTAAACAAAATTGAGAAAATTAACTTATTTAGGAATAAAATAATGACATTAGAAAACAAGTTGAAACCATCATCGTTGAAATGATTCATGTGATTAAAGGTCATATAGTAAGTGTAAAAAGAAATAAGAATATTATCCGTTTCATGAATACAAAAAACAAGAATTTCATATTCTTGTTTTATATTAAAAGTTCCTGAAACCAGAACTATGCGTACGTAAGAAGTACGTCTGATCGTCAACTAAGCCTTCATTGTGATTCATAACTACTGATTATATCACCGTATTCATTTGCACACCTCTTCAACTATTTATTACTGGTACAATCACATTGTACCAGTTAAAAATTCCCTTAAAATATTCAAAAATAAAAAATAATTTAGCAAACAATCGTTTTCCTTAACTTCATCATCACACTATACAGTTATTAGTCCATAATTTTAATATTTTATAAAGTCCAAAAATAAGGCATGGC